CCCCAAAACCCCAAAACCCCAAAACCCCAAAACCCCAAAACCCCAAAACCCCTACCGGCTCTTATATAATTGAGTAATACATTATGGAATGAGTAAATTACATTTATTGATTTAGTAGGATCAGCAGAATACTATTAATCACTGTCATCGCTGTCGTTGAACTGGGGCTTCAATGTAAATGCACCGAAGACTTGGAAGTGATTTTTACCTTCAACACGATTTGTTTTGTAACTTGAAGGCCCCTTGTTCATACCAGGGCTTTCCTCAGACTTAGGTTGGCTAGCTGGACTTGGCTGTGGGGAAGGTTTTTTGAAGGGAGAAGTTTGGTGACCCTGGAATTTACCTTGAGCATGTCCGTAGCCTGGATATGAAGGCATTGTTGGATCCTCTCTGTCCTTTGGGGGTTGCAATGCTTGAATCCCTTCAACTAAGTATTCGTTTAGGTCATAAGTTGAAGCCAACTCTTGAGAGGTTTGAAGACGATCAGAGAGCAGCTTTGCCCACTTTGTTCTGATCTTTTTATCTGAAATTTCAGGAATATTCTTATAAATACTCTCACTTAAAGCTTCAAGAGATTCTCCTTCAGATAATTCAAGTGCTGTTTGGACTACATAATTTCCGAATGAGCTATGCATCAAGCTAACTAGCTTGCTAATTTTTGCAATGTTCAGAATAATCAGGTTTCTTTCTTCAGAATTACCCATCTTTATTCATTTTTCAACAACATTTGAAGAGAACTTTTGGATACTAAGCTGGGCAATTTTGTTCACAGAACAAGTGAGTCCATCTTGACCTTTGCTAATCAAAGGGAGGAAGTGTTGTTCTGGCCATTTATCCATCACCTCCTGCAGGGCATAGTTTCCGTATGGGTCTAACATGAGCTCAGTGACTTTGGATCTACAAAAATCAATGAAAGTAGGTCTATTCTCAGCTGATGTATTAGATATTAATTTCTTAATAACTCATAATCCATGAGAAGTCTTTGAAACTTGCATAAATCCCTCGATGATTTCATTGAAGATAAACAATCTGTTCTCCTCCTCAAATGAAAGAATAATCTTCTGGATTATATGAGTGCCTTGTTGGTCAATAGATAGTTTGGCCACTTCACCTTTAAGTGCACCCTCGAAAAATTTTTCTTCCTCATCGAGAGTTGCTAAATCTACTAGCTTTTGAATGGCGTGAGTTCCTTTCTTATCTTTGCAAATTAGGAGGAAATTTGGCTGGATCTGTTGCAAAATATGAAGTCTTTGGGTTCCAGAGCAGCTTTGAAGAAGTTCTTGACAACAGTAGTTCCCATACTTGTCCATCATTAATTTGTATAGATCTGATTCAATCTCCTTTAGAAAGAATTCAATTACATCGTTGTTGGCTTTCTTTAATAAATTCTGCAAGAATCGAGAACCAGATTGATTATATATTAATAGACTTATTTGGCCATTTAAAATTTTCAACTTATTTGCAAGAACTGGCTCCTTATCACACTTCAGAATAAGTTCTCGAGCATTTGGGTCGATGGGAAGTGACTTCTCGTTGGCACTCCTTGCTTTTCTAAATCCTTTTCCTTTTCTTGCTCCAGGCTTAAGTAGTGTACTATCACCTTGGCTCATTGTATCACTAGCCATACTCCCACCGCTGCTGATAGTGTGAAGAGATGTTGGGTTGGGATGATACATATGTCCTCCGTGGGAATTTTGCATGTAATCTTGATAGTGACCATGGCCTGGTTGATGCATCATTTGCTGATTTCCATGCATCCCATATCCTTGTGGATAATAATTTCCAGGATACATTTGGTACCCTGGTTGTGGATATTGATTATAGTGAGGATGGTACCCAGCCATTTCATTTGAATAATTGGCAGATCCTACACTACTTGCTGTACTTCTGTCAATATTATTATAAGAATGAGAGCCATCTTCCCAAGTGTCTGGCATCAATCTCTGATTTGGAATGTAATGAGGATTATCAACGATATGAGATCCACCATACATTTGTTGCTGAGGAAGCCCAAAATCTCTTCCATTTGATAACTTTGGCTCTTTCTGAGATTGCGGCTTTTTCAGATTCCCTAGTTTTGATTTCTTGCTCACCTTTTTCGTAGGTTTGAAATTATTAGACATAATATTTAACTTCAGACTATTTTGAGATTGCTTTTGCTCTGGAGAAGAACCTTGTGGTGAGCAAGTTTTGCTCTTCTGTTCTTCAGAAGCAGAACTAAGCCTCCCGATATCAAATTTGTGTTCTATCACACCTGCTGGTGCGGCATGTATGTTACTACTTTCGCCTTTCGTGTCTTCCTGGTCTAGTTGTGTGACCTCAATGTCGTCATCTTCAATTATAGACCAGATATTTTTGAACTTATCTTCATCCAAATCTGAGTCTTTGGATAGAGGAGTATTAAACTCTCCTTCTGGCTGATTTTCCTTCTTATTCTCCATATTAATAAACCTTGTAATAAAATTTAGTATAATATTTCATTGTCTTACACAAGGCAGGGGTTTTGGGGTTTTGGGGTTTTGGGGTTTTGGGGTTTTGGGGTTTTGGGG